CTCCTAGGGAGAAGGTGCGCTCCAGGATGCCCGGGGCAGCCTCCCCGAGCCCTTCCCAAGTGCGGCTGATTGATCTGTCGGGATGAGGAACAAACCCGAGACCCCGCGTTCCCAGCCCCCCAAGGGAAGTCTCCAGCTCACGCGCTCAAAAGTGAAGCAATTTGGTCACAGGGGTTGTGACAAGAGGATTCCTATCTGGGACAGGCTTGTAGGTTCCTTTACCCTTGGCCTAACACCTCAGCATTGTGCCAGACTGTGACCAGCAACTGTGACACTGCAGAGAGCAGGCTGGGTTTTTTGTTTGGTTGTGGTTTTTTTCTTAGTCATGAGTTCTGAATTCTTCAAGCCCTTTAATGCTACAGTTTACTAAGGCTGCAATTTTTAGGCTGTTCTTTAGGACTCAGGACATCTGAAGATTCTTTGTTATCTGTTACAAGATTTAGTCAACTGTAAAAGCAGTTTTCTGATTTTCCTGCAAAAGGTTCCAATGTCTGTGTGAGTGGGCTACCAGTCTCTTTTCCATACATTAGCTGGAGCTTTAATGTTTGGTGAACAGATTTAGTAAACCACAGACAGTTCTCCCCTCATAGCTTTTCTTCCATAGTTCTCAGCATTTTTTGTAAAAGGCCTGGAGCAGAGCAGGAATGGAGCCTGACTGCTGGGCAGTTAATTTATTTGGCAACTCACCAAGTGCTCCAAACTCAACAGTGACAGTGGTTGTGGCAGAAGTGCCCAGGTAAGGGCACTGTGCAGCGGGTGAATTCACATGCTGAAGCCCCACGTTTTTGCCAGGTCATAGATCTGCAGTGTGAGGAAGGTAATGAACTGCTCAGTCTTCCACTGTGGTTGTACCAAAAGCTATTTGTTTAATCACACGGGCTCATTACACTGATGATGATTTACAGTGGGCAGTCCTGCCTTATTTCCTTGGACCACCTGCCGAGCAAGGCAGGTTAAATAGTTTTACTTACTAACTGAAATGCAAATGTGAAGTGCTTTTTATTCCTGTTGAATGCCATGTTTTTTTGGTATCATTCCTAAGGTTGATGCAGCCAGCCCAGGTTAGTTGAGACTTGCATCAGCTCATCTGCTAGCCAGTCACAGATCTCTTTAAAATTATCTGGTGTCCTGTAGCCAGGCCTATCTCAAATTGAATAGGCTTTCTTCTCAACAATCTTCCTGGTTACTCTGAAAAGCCAGTTCCTCCCAAGCAAACCATATTTAAAACACAAAAGGTATCCCAGAATGCCTCCCTGCACAGGTATATTTGTTGCTAGTGGGCAGCCTTAAAAAAAGAAAAAAACAAAAACAACAAAACAATCCAAAAAATCAGAAACAACAACAAAAAAGCCCAGCAACCACAAAAACCTGGCTTGTTTGTGGTCTCAGCTTAAGGCCATGGCCAGGGCTGTGGTATCTGGGGCCTGCTCTGAAGGCAATGGAAGCAGTTGGCAGCCTGATAATAGACACTGTGGGCCAGGCTGTGCCCAGTGCCAGGCTGCTCCTAATCTCCACAGTGCCAAAAGTCCCTGGAGCCAGCCCATCCACGTTCCCTCCGGCCCTGCGGACGCTCCCCCGCTAATCTGCAGCAGCACATGTGTGGTGGCTGGGCCTGGGAAGTGCACTGGGAGTTAACAGGCTTGGGGTTACCCAGGGCTGAGGAGTGACAGGCCTGCAACAAGATCTACAGAGAAACAGGCTCCTCACAGACCACAGCTGGGTAAAGCCAGGCTTGGAGGTTCACAGAAAAGCAGTTGGGGAGAAGGGGCAAAAGAGCCCCAAACCCACATCCACTTCACAAACCATCCCAGGTACTTGGTGTTGTGTGCCATAATTTTTTAGACTCTATATGGAAGTGCTTCAGAGGAGGCACATGATTTCAGGGAGCTATTTCTAGGAAGAGAAAAACCCATATCAAGTGACTGCAAATTTCTTCCACTTCCCTTTTTTCCCTTTCCTTGTAGATGTGCTCAGCCAGTGTATTTATTGCAGAAATTATTTTGCCAAACTTTTTGGACAGTGAATTAGCATCTTCAGCCTCTCCATAAGCTGTGTCTATTGTAGATGAATACACTGCATATTTTGAGTAGTATTTATTTAGTGTGAGCAGGTCTCTGATGCGTGGTGTCAATGCAGCTCCCATCCAGAATGCAGCAACTGAATACACAGCTCAGAGTTGCACAACTACTTTTAGCTAAAGATCATTGGAGAAAACAAATATGTGCATGAATAAAATGAGATTTGCTTTCAAAGTAAATGTCCAAATAACCTTTCGAGAATTTTCTTAGGAAATTTTAGAAGATACCCACTGCCATTGTGGGATATATTGACAATGTGGAGATAGAACAGAATGGTTTGGTTATCTTGCTGAGTAAACTAAATGGCTTAGAGAATATTTATCTTCTGGAATATGATAAAATAATTGTGTTCTAAGGAAACAAAACTAATCTACCTGAACTGAGTCCTGCTTTTGTTGCTTCCCACTGTGGATACTCATAGCTTGGCAGAGGATGACAAATGTTTGCTCACTACTCTTTTGCAATGGACTTTAGGTGCTAAACTCTGTCTTAGGAGCCCTTGTCTGTTCCTTCATTGGCTGGTGGGAGAAGTGGAAGTCATATAGGGTGGGGGGGAAGTCTGGAATAAGCTGATTTTTCTTTTGAAACAATATGGAAGCGCAGAGGTTCCTTATCTCTAGCAACCCCCAGAGTGGTAAAGTAGTAACTTTCAATGAGTCAAGTCCTTCCACTGTCACCATTTTATATAAAATAATTTGAGGGGCTTGCCTAATTATAGTTCCTTTTGCCATCCTTAAAAGGAACATTTGCAAAGCAGTGACAGTCATTTGACATGTAATGAAACTGCTCCAAGTTCCAGCAGACAGTCCATTCTGGGGTTTCTGCTGCTCAGTGATACTGGTCCTGGTTATCAGCAGGCAACATGACTGGGTCGTGTTCTGCTCCCCCTCGCATTGTTTCCTTTTGAACATTATAGTTCACTTCAGTGAACTTCAGTGGAACTGGGGGTTCACCTCTAGCATTTTCCTGGCAAGTTCTGAAGCACATCTCAGACATGAGAAAATAAGAAATATTAGAAATGCTTAATGACAGAAAATGAAGAGAGAGAGCACCTATGCAAGTTAGTCACAAGTTAATTCAGATTTTGGCTGAAATTGGGGGATACTCATAATTGTTTAAGGAACAAGCATCACTGAGAGTGCAGTCTTACATTTATGTGTTACAAAGTATTTTTTGGTCCTGATCCTGTCCCCTTCCTTCATGCAGTCAGACACTGGGAATGATGACTATTAGTGAACTCGATTTTGCCTGGCAATGTGTTGAATGTTGTAGTTAGAGGAAGCTACTGCTCACA